TTTAATGTTATAACCCCATGCAAGATGATATATACGTTGCGGTAACATAGGAAACAACTTGGTATAGGTTTGCTAAGTGGTATAACTTTCTGGAGAGTGTTACGATTCATATGACTTTTTTGGGCGCTTTTGTAGATGATATATATTTGCAGCGTCTTTTCTGAGCGAAAAAGTTATAAAAGTTATTAACTACTTATATGTTAAAGTATAAAACGGACGCGGAAGTTTGAGTTTTGTGTGGGGCTTGCTTTTGCTGTTTAAGCAGTTGCGGTCATCATTTCACGTTTTATAGCCTGCGTTTTTGTTGGGGTTTCTCTATAGCATCATATTTTGTATTTTAGGTTCTTTTAGTACTATGTGGAAATTTTTGACAGATGTATATGTTGAGATACATGTGAGCCACCTTGCGCGTTTTGTTTCCTACCTGTCTGCGGCGGTGTGCCTGCTGTGGCTTTTATTGTGCCTTGGTGTTAAGACTAGAACTTATGGAGTTCGAAACCGCAAGTCGGTATAGATGTTTATTATATATTCATGTGTGAAAGCCTCATGCTATATATTGCGCAACAGTTGCGTTTTTTTTGTCGTGTCGGAGTCGCATTTTTTCTGCACGATTGCACCATGCATGGAGTGCGGCGGTGTGTCCGCTGTGCTCTGTTTGTTCTTTTTCCTCCATACGCCGTGAGTGGAATCTGCGCCCAAGTTTTTAGCTGTTCCTGTTTTATTTCGAATGTTGCATTGACATAGTACTAAAATCGCTACCGGCAATATCTGCCATCAAAAAAGAAGGCTCTTGAAATCAAACGCACGTGGCAGGCAGTAGCAGACATCACTGCACTTCTGGAGATGTTGCGTTCGGAATACTAGTGTTGGTTTTGGAACTATATTTTTTTGCCATGGCAGACGCAGCTGTCGACAGCGTGACTGCCCTTTCGAAGCTGCTGGAAACGCAGGATGGCGTCGATCGCCTGGTGCATTTAGAAGCCGTGAAGAAAACCTTAGGTGCTCTGAGCTTCACTGTAGACCAAGCTTTGCATGTCAGTGCTGCCATCAGTGGCTGTGCCGGATTTGACGAAAATGAAAAGAAATCCTTACAGCAACTGGTGACAAAGCAAATGGAGGGCACAAGGGTTCTGACGGACAAGACCCGTAGCAAATCTCAAGATTGGTCTCGCATGGATCACTTCCTGACCGAGAGCATTTGGCAAGCTTTGGAACAGAAACCCTTCAGGGACGCTATGGATCGAATCATCTGTCATCTATGGCGCCTTGGCTTGCGGAACCCTTCCGAGGGAAGCAAGGCTTGGATCACAGCTCTCTTGCTCTTGTACCAGCCTTCCAAGACACCGTTTGAGTTGCGGTCGACTTTCACGACTGTGAAAGAAGCTTGGAATTCAGCTTCCAAACGTTTGAAAAAAAGCGAGCACCTTGCCGGAGTTGATCCTCCTCACATTCTGACATTGCCAGATGATCCTGAGCAGTTGTCTGAGGATGCGAAGAGGCATGCCTATGGAAGTGAGAAGCCTTGTCCGAGCAAGGCCAAGGGGCCTGAGTTGCTGGAGTTGTATACTCGCATTCCTCAAAGGACGACACGTTTGGAATTGCGAGATGCTACCAGCCAGAGTGCGGTGCAGCGTTCTTCTGCAACTCATGCCCAAGCGTCGGAGCAAGTGGCTTCGATGTTTCAGGCTTTTATGCCAATGATGCTTCAGTCCATGCAGGCGATCATGATGCACAAGAACCGAGACAATCATATTGATTTGCAATTTACAAACAGCGAGACTTCAAAGACACCATGTGCACCACCTCGTGCTTTGACAGCTGGTGTGCCAGCTGAACCGGCCAGCTCATCTGCTGCCGAGAAGATTCCGCCTCCTTCTTCGGCTTCGCTCGCTGAGAAGAAGGCCGCGCATGACTTTCGCACAGCTTCAGAAGAGAAGTTGTCCAATCTCGTTGGTGGAGCAGCAGTTCCTGCACCTCTTGCTATCCTTGATAAGCCCGTTCCACAGGCAACCGTGGAAGATCCACCACAGGTGGAAAGTGATGAAGCACGAAAGGAAAAGGAGGAAAAGGAGAAGCAGTTGGAGCCTGGCCAATCGCTTCTGAACAAATTGACACAGCGGGATGACAAGAAAAAGGCAAAGAAAAGTTCGAAGATGAAACGGCCAGCTGCTGCCAAAGCAGCTCCTATGCAGAAACCAGCTAGTGCTAAGCCTGCTAAGCCTGCTTTGAAAATGCACCGCGACAATGTGTGCAGCAGGGCTTGGCACAAGGAGTACTACAGGGTGTTCAAAAAGAACAAAGACGATGACATGGCCAAGAGGCTGGCTTCCAAAGCCCGGGCCAAAGCTGCAAAGGCATGGGATGAGAACAAGTTTTAGGTCAGACGTTCTATAGCGGCATGCTTGCCGATTTTGTGTTGGCTGGCTGTGGAAAGCCAAATCGCGGCTGCGGAAGAGGAGTTTAAAAAAATTGAGTGCTGCAATGCGGCGACTGCAAGGTTGCAAATTTATCTGGGAAAATCTTGTGTGACACATGCTGCGGCGGTGTGCCTGCTGTGGCTTTGGAATGTTGCTGCCCGCAATGTTCAAGAGTCATGTTCCATTAGCTGGTCAAATTACTTCTTGCGCAGGCCGTCACTGCAAGAGAGAGCCATGAGACACGCACGAAGCCAAACGAAAATGTTTTGTTTCTTTTTTTGGCTTGAGCGGACAATTTGTTGAAAGTTTTTCTCTTGGAAGGATGCCAAAGACAGCACAGTTCCAAGCGCTGAAACATGCATGCAGGCTGCCGAGTTTCCAGTTGTCTCAGCAGGTTGGAAACTGACCCCGACAAAGTCACCAAAATGTTTTGTTTCCCCCTTTATCTCAGTTTTCTTTCCTGTTGGGGGGATCTGTGATTCTAGGGCCAGCGCTATTGGAAAATTAGCAATGCAGGGTCGACATGCTCCAACATGCCGACAACACAAACTGCCAACTTTGTTTTTCCTAGCATCACATGAGCACTGAAAACTTTACTTGTTTACTTAGTTGTCCGCGTCTCGATCAGCGAGCGCTTGCCATGCATGAGTGCCATGGAGGCGAGGCAGATGTGCGAGACAAGTCTGCCAGCTCCATGCCCATGCCGTCCTCTTTGAAAAAAGAGATAGATGACTGGGATCTTTTTCTGAGCAAAAGTTACGGCGAGCAAGACCCAGGGCTGCAGCATGGCAATTCTCAAAGTTCTTCCTCAAGACCTGTGAGATCTTTGACGGAAATGTTGACTCGAGCTTTGGGCATGCCAGCTTCCTCGCAGCCTTCTTCGTGCCCTGAGCATAGTTCGCCAGTTACACCCAACTCTGAAGATGAAGATACTTCTTGCCCTGCTGCTTCCACAACCGATGGGCCAGCTCATGTAACACAGAAGCCTTTGTCGAAATCGGCAAGAGCAGTTTTCCGGGAGAAGCATGGTTACGACAAAGGTCGTGGCAAGACTAGCCGCAAACAGCACAAGAAGAAGCACAAAGAAAAGAAAAAGATGGAACAAAAAAGTCCGCCTTGTCAGGGCTGCCCGTGAGATTCATGTATTGTACAGCAAGTTCTATACTAGAAGGGGGGCTGCTTTGAATTGGCAGTGCGAAGAGTTTCTTCACTTGTTTCTTTGTTTCTTGCCACAGCATGATGCATAAATGCTGCGGCGGTGTCTCTGCTGTGGCCTTCTTGCGAGATTAATGTGATGACGTGTCATTGTCACGACTAAGCTACAGATGTCATGATGTGCATTGGCACGGACATGTTTCAATTATGTCATGCACCGACTGTGACCTTCCTGTGGTTTATTCGGACGCAAACGAAGTTGTTGGCCCACCAGTGTCTATTTGCTTTGTCTTGGGTCTCCCCATGGAGACTGGACCAATAGAGTCGCAGTCCATCCAATCCCTTTTTGCAATGTTGTTGTTGATCGTCATGGAGCTGCAGCGCCGCATGGCTTCTTCCGAGAGTGCAGCTTCGAGTCATGCCAACGAGCCTGCCATGACCACAATGCGAAGCCAAGGCTCATTCACGTCGAGCACGTGCAGTTACAGTGGGGCAGAGAATCCGCATGCTGCTCCTTATGGCCCTGCTCCAGCGATGGCAGCTGGATATGCTCGTCCACATGGACCGTGTCCTCATGCGTGTGCCTTCTGTCAAAATCCCTGTTCAAGGCCAGCGTCAACAAAAACGCAAACCAGCCAAAAGCCAGCAGTTTGATAGAACCCAAGCAAGGCAGCACCATGTTATAGGATTTATCAGGGCTGAAGAAAAAGGATAGCTGCGCGTTGACTCATTAGGTAGAAGCCGGAAAAATAGAGACATTTTAACTTACATTTTCCCCAAAAGCCTAAACCCTAAATCCTAAACCCTAAACTATACGGCAAAATTGGGCAGCATTTCCCCCTGAAAGAGAAGACAAAATATACAAAAATGGTTTTCCCTTCCAAGGAACAAAGCAGCAACACAATGCAGAAAGGAAGTTACAGAGCAGGTTGGAAACAGAATCTTCTTGCAGCAACTCACACCAGGTGATGCTTAAACACCCCAGACTACGTCGAGACTACGTTCAGACTACGTCGAGACTACGTTCAGACTACGTCGAGACTACGTTCAGACTACGTCGAGACTACGTTCAGACTACGTCATTTTATAGCGTAGTCTACAGACTACGGTCCTGTAGTCCAGGTGTAGTCTGCTCCGTCTACACGTAGTCTGAGCGTAGTCTGGTATGCGTCTACTCTTGACCTACGCGTAGTCTAGATGTAGTCTGCTGTCCGTCTACTCTGAGACTACTCATGCGTAGGCTGTAGACTGCATGTAGGCTAGGGGTAGGCAGTTAGTAGTCAGCATGTAGTCTTGACATCTTGCTTTGCTGCGGCGGTGTCACCGCTGTGGCATGGACGATCAGAGACTTTGATTCAGTTTCTTTGCTGTGCAGTTTTTTTGGTGAATCACTTAGCTGCAGGGACTCCTCCGTGTCTTTAGAGCCCCATGGCTGATGCACCTCAATATGGTTTTGCCATCATGAGTGACGGCAGCGTTCGAGCAGGTGACTGCTCCGGCACATCCATCACCCCTGAGAGAGCCCAGCAGATTCTCAACAGCAGAACCTCTGGGGAAAGCAAGGATGACATGAAGGTCCTGCTGGCTCACTTACTCTTTGGTGCCATGGAAGCTTCTCGCATGCGCGAAGATTCTCCAGATGTCACTGCGGCATCTTCTCATGAAGCTGCAGGTGATCGCTTGGCCAACCTGAAGGGAGAAGGTAAGAAGGATGGTCGCTCTGTTGGCAACCAGGCTGACCACCACGAGGAAGAGTCAACACCTGCGACTGGGAGCTTAGGGCCATCCAGTGGAATCAAGTCCAAGAAGAAGAAGAATGGCAAGAAGCGCTGTGGTGGTGGCAAGTGAGTATGAGGGCGACAACGCCCAGGCAGTTTTGCTTAGCTTGGGGTAATGTCCCCTTTTTTCGAAAGTTTGTGACCTGGCAACTCCACTTGTGAGCCTAGGTGTATGTAGCTGCGTGGTGATGTGCAGCAGTCCTTGGAAGCAATTGCAAAACATGTCACCATTCATCCAGAGACAATGCATTATAGGAGAATTGCCTTCCTAACGCTTTTTGAGCAGCCGCAGGGTCAGTATACATGACAGTGCAGCCCATCTGACTCCACTGAATGTGTTACATGTTTGACCGCCATGTTGGATGCATGGCAGTTTGATTCTTCATATGCAGCTTTTTCCTGGGTATAGAGTTGCAAAGCAATTCTAAAAACGACAGGCACCTATATAGCCATGGCTGATGTGGCTGAGACAATGCCACAGTTCAGTGCTGACGAGTTGTCCAAGGCTATGGATGGAGTGGATGCGGCCTTGGACGACATCGCTGGCAAAGTCACTTGCAGGTATTGCAACCTCTTTGTTGACCCTATGGAGTCTGTACAAAAAGGAGCCAATTCGTTCACTTGCAAAGAATGCAAGCGTGTGGACATGATCCTCTACCGCAACCTTGGGGAAAGGCCTAGTGAGTTGACAACCATGAGCCTTCGTGACCAACGTGAATTCTGGCAAAGAAGTCACAGCATGGACGACGCAGATGGCCAAGGCAAGTGGAAGCTCATTCGAGCTGCCTTAGTTGAAGTCCGCGCCAAAGAGGTCCAGAGAAGAGAGATCAAGTCTGTGGGTGGGGCCTACTTGCCACTGGCAGTCCACATGGCCCAAGGATGGACGAAGGAACAGGTCGAAAGCTACCAAGACTATGAAGAACATCCTGCTCCCATTGGTCGCTTGTGGCGGGTCCCCGTCAAATCAGTCAGTGTTGAGGACATCAAGAGTAGCATCGAGAAAGAGCTCTTGACCAGGGAGAGGACTTTCAAGAAAAAACGTCAGGCTGTTGACAAGAGCAAGGCAAGTGGATCCAAGAAGTCACCAGCCCAGGATGCCGAACCTGTTACGTCTTCTCAAAAGTCTGCAGAAGTCTGTGTTATCATCCCGACCGACAGTGAAGAGGAGCCAGTGAAAATTACCAAGACTGCCGGCGCAAAGAGTGCGAAACAAGAAGCTCGCGAAAAGGCAGCCATGGAGAAGAAGCAGGCTCGAGAAAACGAGAAAGCCATGAAGAGCGCGCACACTTTGGCCAGCAAGAGCTTGGGGCCGCTGTCGAGCCTGGTGAACAACTTGAAGGCCGCGACAGCTGCCATTGAGAAGAAAGGCAAAGACAAGTTTCATGACGAACTGGCAGATGCAGTTGCCGAAGCCTTGGAGAAAATGGAGAAGTGGCAGGCTGAGTGCACATCTGTGGCGCACAAGGTTCAGAACAAGCAGAACTTTGATGGGCATGAAGTGTTGTCCTTCAACAAGGCCCATTTCATGACTGAGACGAAAGCTGCCCAGGCATTGATGGCCGATTTCCGAGTGCAGGTACGCAATGTGAACGAGCAGAATGCTGCAGCAAAGCTGCGGCCAAAGGCATGTGCAAAGAAGCGTGCTCAGAAGTAGATGTGCTATAGGTGTTTGCTTAAAAGATATTTAGGGGTTTGGTGTTTCAACCATACGCATGCGAAGCCAGCGTATGCGTTGCCAGGGGGTGATATCTTTGGCAAGGCTCACATATGTCTGGAGTCAGTTTATGCAGCTTCCTCCGCTGTGCTCTTCGAGTTTCCGTGCGAAAAGCCGCCTGGCATTCTATAGTGTGCAGCCTCCATGCCACAATTACTTTTTTCCATGGATGCCGTGTGATCACAAGACTAGACTTGTCTTCTTTTGACATGTTGGGAAATTGATTCAATTGTGCGGCGGTGTGCCTGCTGTGCAAGACATGCTCAGATGCCTTGTCAACATTTGTTCCTTCAGCTTTTACCGTGTTTCTATAAGGTAAGCATGACCAAGACAGCAATACTTCATTGAACCGTTTCTCCAGAGGCTTTCACTACCCCATGGAGGTACCATGACGCATGACATGCATGTCTTGCTTCAGAGTTCCTCTTAGCATGCTTCAGACATTATGTAACAACTTTTTTGCATGCCCCGGAAGCGAAAGCAATGTGATGAGACTGTACTTGGAAATGTGAGCGCAGCTATTGCTGTGAAAGGTGCCTCTGAAAGAGCGACCCGTTTGATCTGGAACTTGGCACAGCCACCTGAAGGATCATCGCTATCTTCAAGGCAGTTTGGCCAACATGTCGAAGAAGCACTAGAGCAAAGTCAGTGCTTTGATGTCTTGCATCTGCCTTCGAAGAGAGAGCTTCCAGAGGCTTTTCCAGTTGCAAACATGCCAAAGTTGTTGCGCTTCATTGGCTGTCGAATGCCAGCCCTCTCTGGTCTGTTGAAGGAGCGTCTGCTCCAATGTGGCAACTTGCTGTCACCCTTGATTTACCACGACGAAGCCCAAGCGGGCAACGTATGAGCAGTTCACAAGAAGATGAAAGCAACCCTGATATATTTCAGCTGGCTGGAGCTGGGAAAATGGCTGCACCAAGAGGAGATGTGGCTTTGCATTGGCTTGATTCAGCATTCCACTTGCGACCATGTGGATGGTGGTTTGGCAAAGGCCATGAGCGCATTGGTGGAACATGTTCTCCGTGATGAGTATCTCACTGGCTTCGCTGTTCGATTGATTCTCGGCTATAATGCTTTTCAGTTTCCATCGGTATACTTATTTCCCTATATACCGTACCTGTCTTGATGTCTTGAGATTTTACAAAATGACCACATCAGGAATGACGAGCCAATGTGGTACAAGCAGAAAACAAAAGCCTTATTCATTTCCGACTTAGCAGCTCTGCAGAGTACGTTGGCCATCAAGGGAAGCAGCGGTCTCAAGCCTTGCTTGTGGTGTCAGAACATCCTCAAAAAAGACAGTGGGCTGTCAGACGACCGTTTCCGAGACATTTCCGAGCACGATGTGAGCAGATTCGAAATGGCAAGCGATGCCACGATTTGGGCATGCTGCGACCACATCGCCGAACGGATTCCTCATCTGAATGTAAAGATGCGTGAGCAGCTGGAAAAGAGCTATGGTATCACCTATGTCCCACAATCAATCTTGTTTGATGCCAGCCTTCGCCCGCGATTGCGGCCAAGTGATGTTTGCTTGGATAGCATGCACAATTACTTCAGCAACGGCGTTGCAAATCAAGAGCTTTGTCTCTTCTGGCATGCCATCTCCAAAGCAACCGATTTGAAATTAGAAGATTTGCGTACAGTGTGCTTGGAGTCCCAGTGGGAAGGGCCAAAAGTTTCAAGCCACGGCAGAGTTGGCTACATGAAATCTTTGTGGACTCCGAAAATGTGGAATGGCGATACTTATAAAGGCCAATCAGAACAATGTGAAAGCATACTGCCTCTGATGCGCTGGTATGCAGAGATGCTGGTTGTCAATGTTGACTCTTTGCGTCTGCCATTGGACAGCTTCAGAACTTTGTCAGAAATCGCGATGGAGATCAGGAAATTAGTCTATATGTGGAGGAAAATCACCCCTGACCATGTCGCGAAGCTGCAAAGATTGCAGACAGAACATCAGCTGAAATTCTCGGCAGCATACACTGCGCAGTGCTGCCGCCCGAAGCATCACCACAGGCTTCACTTACCAGATTCGTGGCTCAAATTGGGTGTTGCATTGTCTTGCAAGCCCATGGAATCAAAGCACAAATGTTATAAGCAAGGCCTTGCTGAGCGCTTCGTGTCCAAAGTCGAAGCCGGATTTGCTGCAGCGCTTCTGCCACGGATGCTTCATTCCCAGGCACAAACGATGGCCGAACATATGCCACCAGTCCTGCAGCCTCTACAATTCTTATCTCCTTTGAAAGCAGCTTCAGAATCCATTCTGGAAACATGGCAACGGCCAACTGCAATCTTGAACAAGACAGCTGCCGGCGTCAAAGTCTACAATAGCACTGCAAAACCAGGCGATGTGCTCATTTTCCCTGATGCTGCTGGCATCCTGCAATGGATCTTGACAGATGGCTCACACGGAGTATTTTTGCTGCAACGCTTGGAGCTGGTACCTTCTACTGTTTCTAACATTCCTTTTCCAGCACTTTCCAGATCGTTTTTCTTGTTTCCCATCGCAAATATTTTTCATAAACTGCACAGATTCTTTGACATGAAGGGCTTCTATGCGCATCCAAGGTCGAACTCAAACATGGCCACAGCGCTTGGTATATCACCAACAATCACTGGAGCCGGTCCGTTTCTTTGGAAAATCCCTACACCATGCCTGCATGGTGGCGACAAGATGGTGAGCGCTTGATCTGCTTACATTGAGCGCCAGCGAAAAAATAATGCAAGAAGTCATCCATCACTGCGGCAGTGTGACTGCTGTGGCATTCTTTTGTGCACCACATGTATTTTCTGAATAGCTGCGGCGGTGTGACTGCTGTGGTTTATTTTGATTTGGCACATTGTTTTTTATTCAAAAAACGACGCGTGCACATTTCCTCGCTTCCATCGCGTTTCTTTCAGCCAATGCTTCTAAATACCATAAATATAGTTAAAAAACTTATAACATACTTATAAAAAAGTTGCAAAAAAGATATAATAAACTTGCGTAAGTCCTGCATAACTCCCCCGTAGCTTCTTTGTAACAATCTCAAGTCATGCAACTATAACCGAACCACATGGTGTGTGAAAGATGGTGTGTGACAAATGGTGTGTCAATGATGGCGTGTGAAAGATGGTGTGTGTGACAACATGGTGTGAAAGATGATGTGTGAAAGATGGTGTGTGTGTGACAAAGTGGTGTGACAAAGTGGTGTGACAGCAGCTCCTCCGGGAGGCTCTGTGTACTGCGCCGGCCACACGACAGCCAGCCGCGGGCCAGCAGCGGCCACGCCCGCACCAGCTCCTCCAGGAGGCTCTGTGTACTGCGCATGCCATATGACAGCCAGCCGCGGCCATGCGCGCAGCAGCTCCTCCAGCAGGCCCTGGGTACTGCGCCTGCCACACGAAAGCCAGCCGCGGGCCAGCCGGCGACCACGCGCGCAGCAGCGCCTCCAGAAGGCCCTGTGTATGCTGGCCAGGCGGCGACCACGCGCGCAGCAGCTCTTGCCACACACGAAAGCCAGCCGCGCGCAGCAGCTCCTCCAGAAGGCTGTGTGTACTGCGCCTGCCACACGAAAGCCAGCCGCGGGCCAGCCGGCAACCACGCCCGCAGCAGCTCCTCCGGAAGGCTCACGAAAGCCAGCCGCGGGCCAGCCGCGAACCATGCGCGCAGCAGCTGCTCTGTGTACTGCGCCTGCCACACGAAAGCCAGCCGCGGGCCAGCCGGCGACCACGCGCGCAGCAGCGCCTCCAGAAGGCCCTGTGTATTGCGCCTGCCACACGAACGCCAGCCGCCGGCCAGGCGGCGACCACGCGCGCAGCAGCTCCTCCAGAAGGCTGTGTGTACTGCGCCTGCCACATGAAAGCCAGCCGCGGGCCAGCCGGCGACCACGCGCGCAGCAGCGCCTCCAGAAGGCCCTGTGTATGCTGGCCAGGCGGCGACCACGCGCGCAGCAGCTCTTGCCACACGAAAGCCAGCCGCACGCAGCAGCTCCTCCAGAAGGCTGTGTGTAGTGCGCCTGCCACACGAGAAGGCTGTGTGTAGTGCGCCTGCCACACGAAAGCCAGCCGCGGGCCAGCCGGCGACCACGCGCGCAGCAGCGCCTCCAGAAGGCCCTGTGTATTGCGCCTGCCACACGAACGCCAGCCGCCGGGCAGGCGGCGACCACGCGCGAAGCAGCTCCTCCAGCAGGCCCTATGTACTGCGCCTGCCACACGAAACACGCAGCAGCTCCTTCAGACAGCCAGCCGCGATGAGATTGCTGTGACAAGTGGTGTGATAAGTAGTGCTGTGATGAATGTTGTGTGATGATGTGGCTGTGACAAGTGGTGTGATAAGTAGTGCTGTGATGACTGAGGTGTGAGAAGGGGTGCTGTGATGAGTTGTGGTGTGATGAGTGAGATGTGATAAGTGGTGAGTGAGATGTGGGAAGCGGCGCGGCGGGATGCGGAAGCAGCGGCGGGTGCCAAGCGAAAAACAAGAGCCCCACACAGTGATGTGGGGAATAACAATCAATAGATACATAATGAATAAATGAATAAATGAATGAATAAATGAATAAATGCATACATGAATAAATGAATAAATGAATAAATGAATAAATGACTGACTATACATATGCATATTGTATATACACCGTATATCCAAACAGTGTGCATCAACCTGGGACCTCAATGGCTTGACCCAAGGTGCTTTGCTTGGGATTGGTTAGCTGCCTGAGTTGGGTCCTCATTCGGTCAATGGGGGATCTACTGTCGCTCCTTTGTTTGGTGGCAATTTGACTTGGGAAGATGATGATCATTTGGCACTCTATTTTCAGACAAACGATTGGGGTGAGGTGTGTGCTTGACCCAGACATGTTTTTCGGGATGTTTTTTCTGCCTAGAGACTCAGAAGTCATGCAGACCATTTTTTCACCCCTCGGCCTCAATGCACCAAGGCTATTTGATCATGGTGCTGTTTCGCGTGGGTCCATACAGGTGAGGGCTATGGCGGCTATGGCTGTGCCTTCTGTGAGATTTACAGCGTCACAGATTTTGATGATTTTCAGGTGCAGCCATGAGGAGACACCATTCACACCTGATGATGCTGGGCGACATGCAGTGGAACCGATCAGAAAACGGAAGTGGGGTTCGTTGTTGACTATCAACATCAGTTTTCAATGTTCCTTTTCATATTCGATGCTGTTGACTACTTTATTTTTTTCTTCATGTCTTTTCAATAATCTCGAATACAACGAGTTTTCTTTCGACTCTTGATTTGGGTCAAGATTTTGGAGCTCTGCTGCCAAAAAGTCACGCTAAGGATTGCACTCGGCGGCTGCGTGGCGGCTTTGGTTTCGTCTGAGACGAAATCTGTACCATAGAAATAGACAACACCATCTATTTCAGTGCATGGACTGTGCAGTCAGCGAGCGGAAGACTCACAAGCCATGATTCGGAAGTCTGAAATCCAGATGAGTTCAAGAGGTTGGCTGTGAGTCATTCCTCACTGCAGGAATCCACTGAGCTGCGCCCAAAACGCGTGTTGGTAGTCGTGTCGGGGTGTACTAGCTACCTAGCTGGTTTCATGGTGGTTGTTTGGTTGTTGCTCCAAGCTTTCTTTCTCGTACCTTTTGGTCGAGATGTAGAAAAACCAGAACAAAGTGCTGACTGCAACATAGGCCGTCAAAGCACGTTGTCAAATATGTGGCTCCAAGAGTGAGTCGCCTAGTAGCGGACCATTGAGATCTCTGTATACAGAGGCTATGATTCCAGCCAACAGGAAGACATTGTCAAAGCTTGAAAGGGAGTTAGTGTCACAGTTAGAGCATTAAACCCAACCTAGATTGCAACTGCGACCAGCATGTCAGTGACCAGCGGACCTCTGAAGGAATCCGGGCTGCCCAGCAACTGCACTAAAATGCTCCGTTGATCACCGTTGCAGCAATGGTGCAAAAAGCCAGTCGGATAGTCGGGCACTGTGCGGAAGCAAAAGGGTCCTCAGTCGGAAGTTGTTGGATCTTATCACCTCTGAGCACCTGATCTACCAGTTGTGGTGTAGACGGGAGACCACAAGGGTGCATGTTTCGAGTCAGGTTTGCCCTGTTCGTTGCGCAGCCACGTGCCCTCATTAAGTCACTTACTGTTGCAGTATGTTGCAGTTCAATCACCACTTTCAAGCTGTTGAAATGAACCGCCCGCCAAGATAGAATAGAATCTTTCACAGGATTGAAACTGTCTAGTGACGACAAAAGGCCAAGATCATGAGATAGAGTGCGCTAGCCACATGCACAGGCATCCCGTCAAAAGAAGAGACGTTTGCAGCGTGATTGAGTCGTTGGCATGGCGATGGAACGTGCAGTGTCAGAATCAAAGCCAATACCAGGGGACTGGCCGGAGGGATTGGGGCATGACTGAATTCGATGAGCATATTCTTGAAAGCGTTTTGTTCAGCCTGCACCATCCCTGTTGTTCCTTGTGGTTCATGCGTGTGCAAAGACAAGACATGATTGAATATGATTCCAATATATTATGTTTGAATCATTGAATTGGATCATTGAAATTCATTGAATCTATCCTTCCCAGGACGTCCTTCATGTCATCGGTCATGGCCCAGCAATTCTTCTTGAGGCCGTGCTTAAAAAGGTCATTTTTTTGTAACCTGTATCCTTCCACATTGCCTTGGCGGCAAAGGGGGATGCTAGGTATTTCTCCAGGCATTTGCTGCTTTTTACCATTTGGATGATTTGGATTGGATGCCCATCTTTGCCGTGAACCCATGGGTATCAGCGCGGAGGCTGTGATGAGTGGTTCGGACATTGTCGCTTACAAGGCTGGAATAGGCCTAATTTTGTGTTGGACTTCGCTTACCCGCCCGATCCCCGCGCAGTGCCCCTGCGCCGGCCCCAAGCAGGTCCGATATCCGGATGGCACGCAGGAGCCGAGATATGTGTATTGCGGTATGTGGTGCAAATATGTGCAAATATGGCTATGGATCAATACCTATACATACCATTTTTAGGGGGATGAACATCCATTTACCAGCTAATTTGATGTTCACCAGGGGGATAGGGTTTTGACCCATCCCCATATCATCCCAAGAGTCCCAAAAACTATGAAGCTACACGGGCATCGCTGGAAAAACACCTGAGCAGGACAGCGTTGCTCCAGAAAAGGCCTTGATTTGCGAGAAGAGGAAGGATGACGTCACGGACTCAGCAAGGGACGCTTGCTGGGCTAAAAGACTCCCGTGACTTGAAGATCTTCCAAGCAATTGAAAAACCATGAAAAACCATTTTTGATCCTCAAACAGAAAGAGGAAGTCATACTCTACCTGTATGACTGTTTCCTGCAATTTGAATGAAACGAATCTCGTTTCTTGGAAGTTGCTTTGAAACACTATGTTGCTGCCTTTGTCAGGGGCGATCAGCTAGCCGACAATCTGCAGGCCGGGCTCGTTGTTTGGAAATGACGACTTACCGCCTGAGAAAAGATTGAAAAGACATGAAAAGACTCTCAAATACAACGATTCTCCACACTATCTTGGAATGGGGAACAGCTTGAGTTAGTTTGAGGCTTTAGTTCGTGCTAGACATGTCAAAAAATGATAGAACATGATAGAACACATAGAACATGGGCCTTTGTTATCCTTTGTTTGCATCCTTGGTATCGTTGTCTGACAGCAGTTGACATCACAGCTCGCGGTCCAGCAGGCAGTTGGTCTGCGCCCGAACCTGGTTCGAGCCCCGGCCACAGGGTCTTTTAAGACTTTTATAAACAGTCTTTTGAGGAGTTGTAAATAAGAAAACTGCAGATCTTGAGTTTGTTTGCTTTGGGGTTTATACTCGTGGATATTCGTAGTACACGTTTGAATCTTTTTCATGTACATGTTGCAATCATGTTGTGAACTTTGTGGTTGCCCATGGTCCTCGTTCGTTTTTAGTGGATGGAACCTGTGCCAGGCGATCGAAATGAACCGTTGATGGAACGAGGAGGGTTTTTTTCGCATGAAAAGGTAGAGACTCTCTGTGCGAATTCTTCCTCAGAATCAATTGAGCGTGAGCATTTGGATATATTTTCACCATTTTGGGGCTCTGCTCCTGTCTTAAAGAGTCTTACCGTAGCTGGTTAAAACTCCATAATCACATGAAGCACTCACTTTTTCCTGCCGCAGAAATTGGGGGATCTACTCCGTGTCAAAGCTTTCATTCATGAGTCCAATTTGCCACAGCAAGAATACTGTACACCTTTGCAGGCGTGTCCTCCTCCTCTCAACCTCGCCTGTGCCGCTGGCATGTTAAACCTTTGACATTAGCGTCAAAGGCCGTGAGCTGCGTAATTTTACCCCCAACTCTCACGGTTTTTCTAGATTCAGATAGATTGATCAATATTTGATCATCATTTTTCCCATCATTTCCCCATCATTTCCCCATCATTTTTACCCATGGAAAACGGGGTTATTTGGGGTTTACCAGGTTTACCGTCCCATGGCCAGGACCGCAAGCCCTGGCCGGGGACCGCGACAGCTGGAGTATTTGGGCCGCGCATTTGATGATGAAAGGTCTGGAGCTAGGGATGAAGATCTGAGGCTAGATCTGAGGAAAACCCACATGAATTTCCCACATTTGTGGATGGTACCCTCTGGTAATGACTAACATAGCTATTGAAAATGGCCATAGAAATAGTGGATTTTCCCATTAAAAATGGTGGATCTTTCCATAGTTATGTTAAATTACCAGAGGGTAAACGCCATGGCTTCCGGTGAATTTTGCCTACCTAACGCAAGTAAGTTTGATGTTTTGACTGGACTTAAGTGCATGGAGTCTTGTGATGTTGCAGGTTTTGGTTGACAGTTGAAGCCATCCGTTTGATTCAACACTATCTATGTTTCAGCCGGTCGTCCATGTTCATTTCATTACCAGCCCTTTTCATGGATTGAAGCAGCCATAAATGGAATGAGATGGAGCCAGAACCTCAAAAGACTGGGATCTTGTTCCTTTGCTTTCTTGAGGGTCTCATTGATTGAACCGAAGCCCGCTTCAAGATTGTAATAGACATTGCTTATGATGTAATCTCTTGATAGTCTCCTTGCCATATATATGTATGCATCGTGTTTGGCAGGCACTGGGTGTGCATTATCATTAGGGTGAGTATGTAAGCTGATGAATCCATTTTGGCTCAAGTCTGAGCCAAACTGGCTTCATCGTTCTTTCTTTTGCTGGGGTACCCACGCCACTTCTAGGGAGTTACCCTAGGGTCAGTGGTTTCTCGTTCCTCTACTAGGGCGTTACCCTAGAGTACGGAGGTTACGAAGGTGGGAGGTCACCCCCCGATGCCCAGGGCCTCCGTCGTCATCCGGCCCGGTTGGAATGAGGCTGCCCACACAGATGTGGAGCTTCTTCATGCTGCTGCCTACTACGAGTTCAAGACGCACGTGGAGGGCTTGCTCCAACGGGGCTTGGTGGCCCAGGCCACCCGGTTGTGTGCATCTGTGTGCCAAATTGATCACTTCCCCCCTCATCCAATTGGGTTGGGGGTGCAGGGACTCCCCCCATTCAGAAGATCACCTTGCATGGAAGAGAACTGTAGGAGGTGCACTGAATATCAGGGAGGATTCAAGTTCCCTTGGATTGGCACATGGAACAGCTCAGCTGTCTTGGCTCTGCCCGGGAGTGACCCGCGGCTTGCGTGGCAATCCTACTATGATCGCCTGGGCGAGGCGAAGCTGGATTTGCTACTCATCGAACCGCTGCGGACTCATTGGACGGCACGGGATTTTGCGCCGGACAACATCTTTGGTTTGGTCGCCTTCATCGAGCACAATGCCGAGAGTATGGTTGACCTCACCGAATTGTGGGCCGCTTGGAGGACCTGGCAGTCCCCACGTCGAGGATGGAGAGACCCATCCATGGTGCCCATCCCGGCTGACCTGGTTGCGTGGAGAGCACCACGGGCCAGGGCAGTTCGGTCTCTGTGGGGTTGGCTCGGTGCCATGGAGGCTGGGGAGGAACCCTTGCCACCTTGCAAGGCTTGTGGACTGCCGACACCTGAGCTCTGTGAGCGCTGTTTTTCCTCAGTGTGCAGCACCTGTCCACCCTCCCAATGTCCAGGATGTCACCCCGTCTTGCATCGAGACCCATCTGCAGCAGCTGCGGCCTAGTGATGTGTGTTTGTTACCTGATGATACTGAGGTTTGGTCTGCAGTTTCAGGCCCAGCACGTACGCTCCAAACCTTGGCTGCAGTGGTGTCAGGGGTCGCCATGGCGTACCACCCAGGAGCCTATGCGGTGCAGGCTGCTGGTGAGGCTCCACCTTGTGCAGAGACGTCAATGGAAAGGGTGGCAGCCACCCGTGTCGAACAATGGCGATCTCAATGGGGCCTACATGATGAGACCGACTTCGCATATGCGTTCGCATCCTATGACAGCGCAGTGGCACATGGAGGACACCATGTGGCAGATGCGTGGTTGCAAGCGCGCTCCAAGTCCGTCGAAGCTGACCTCATCCCTCAAGCTGCTGCAGTGGCTGAAAGCTCGGGCTCCAGAGACCGGCCAGCAACATGGCCCACGCCCAAGGCGTCCATGATGAAGAAGAGCAAGATGGTCCAAGCTCTCCGAGTCCGGCCAGGTCCAGACCAACCAGAGCATGTGCTGCTGCGGGCTGCGGCATTGAGGAAGGCATTTTCTCAAGCCAAGGTGATGCGTCCTCAAGGGGAGTTGACCCCTGAGAGGTATGCCCAGTGGCAAGACGCTCTGGACACTCTGTCCAAGCGGAAGGTGACAGAGGCTGAAGGAGCAACGGTGGTGAATGCCCTGAAGTCCTGGGCTGAGTTGCGGGCCTACATGGAGCAGAAGGACCGCCTGTTCCCACCGGATGCATTGGACCTCTATGGCTTCTTGCAGAACGGCACGTCTGGACCTTACCGAGCCTTTCATTCCTTGAAGTGGTTCTCCAAACATGGTCGGTTGCAATGGGACTTCAGTGATGTACCAGTCCCAGCTCGCAAGAATCCACCCAAACAGGCAAACCCAGAACAGGCTGTTGCAGTTGAGCCCCCAATGATTGCAGCGCTTGAAGAGAAGATTCAATCGTTGTACGAAGCAGAGGACCCGCGTTGGAGGGGTTTACTGTCCAGCTGGCTGGTCACTTTTGGTGTCCTGCGGTACCAGCACATCATGCGTGCCAGGCCGGTCAAAGTGACCCCCAGCTCCTTTCATGGCTACTGCACAAAGGGGAAGCAGAAGGCCAACAGGGGCGGGTCTCCTTCAGCATCCCAGCCACATTCGTCAATGGATGGGCTTGGGGCTCAGCCTTATTCAGGGACTACAGCAGTCTGGACAAGGCTAAGCAAGCCACTTCGGGGTTATGCTTTGATGCGGAGGGCACCGCATACACGTTGAAGTCCGTCAATGAGCTCAATCGTGAAGTCTTTGAGCATTTGGTCCAGAACACAGAGGATTTGTCTTCCTATTCCTGGCGGCGAGCTGCACCTACAGTGGGCACTCTGATGAAGCTGACGCCTCTGGAGCTGTGCTCGCTGGGGGACTGGGCAGATCGTTCCCAGATCCCGAAAGAGGCGACAATGCCTATGCACTACAGTGCAGCCAGGTATGAGTCTTCATTGAGGACCAAGCACATTGTGCGGTTGGCTATGGAGAAGCTGCTTGCCTATGAGTCATGGGAAACCATCCCAACAGAGACTTACGCTGAGGCCCTGGAGTATGCACGCCAGACCGTTGACAAGGTGCTGAAGCAGGAATCCAGGGTCATTTGGGCAGCTCCTCTGACGAAGGCGGAGATGCAGGCGCGTTTCCAAGCTCAAAGCTGCTGCCAAAAGAGAGGAGGCACAAGCCAAGGGTGGCCTGTCTGCGATGCCAGCATCTCTCAACGGGAAGGTGCTGAGCGCACTCATGAAGAACGGGCCCATTTGTGGCGCTTTCCAGACAAGGTCCTGCTCCTTGGAGAAGGAAGTTTGTCCTGGTCGCCATGCGTGCGCTGTTCTGCGCAAAGCTGGACGAGTTTGTGGTGGTGGCCATCCGGCATGTGAATGCCACGACAAGAAGTTCATCAAGGTGGAGGAAATGCCTGGCGAAGGGCATGGTTCGGGATCTGCTAAGGCCAAGCCTACCACGGAGGAGCGACCTCCGGAGCCAGCTGCCCCTCCTAGGGCGTCAGTGAGGCGCCCAAGGTCCCCACAAGGGCCGCCGCCTAAGGCACCGCCAGAGAAGAAGGCCAAAGCAGCCCCAGCTCCACCTCCAGCGCCATTGCCGGCCCTGGTTACCAGTTCGGAAGAAGAAGAGGTCGAAGTCGAGGAGGAGGACCTTCCGATTCCAGAGGCACTGGATACTCGAGGGCCCGACCAGAAGTTTGACAGGTTGGCGACAATCCATGGCAAGACAGCGGAGAGCCCGAGCCTTATTTACCAAAATAGGGCAGGGGGCAAGCTGTGGCTGAGTGGAATCCCAACCAGGAACACGGCACATCGCTTTCCAAAGGGAGTTACCCTTCAGATTGCGTGCATGGCCGAAGCCCCATCATCCAGAGGAGGAGTGGTGCTCACAGATGCCCTCTTGAAACACCTATGTGTGGCCCATGGTGGTTCGAGGAACCGTGACTTTGAAGAAGTCTGGCCCTTGCTGCGCAATACAATGTATGCAGGCGAGTCGGCCCTGATCCACTGCCTATCAGGGCGCCACCGAGCAGGTGTTGGGGGCTGTGTGTTCCGTGCGCTGCTAGCCCAGGAGAGCTGGGATGTTGCAGTGGCCTATGTCAAGAGCTGCAGGTCGTTGGACATTCCGGGGATCATCCATGAAGAGGGCATGAGGTCGTGGGTAGACACGACTATCAGGACCAGTTCCCTCAGGAACCCGTTCCCAGAGCCCTGCGGCTACATTGCGACGCTTCGTTCCAAGGTGCACCTGGAGCTCAACAACGGCCAGACCCTCTGCTCCCACAAGCGATCAGCCGAGCGTGCAATCCGCTTGGTGAAACCGATGACGACGCAGGACATGAGGGAGGCTATGGCTTGGGGCCGCGCTTTTTGTGACGGTTGTTTGGTGCGAGCAGCAGCGAGCTGGCATCCACGCTGACCTTGTCAGGAGTGGCGCACCAGAATTCATTTGAATAAGAGAAGCACAGGGCCGATTTGGTAAGCTGATCAACGTGGTCCATAGCTTGCCCGTAGGCCAACATGCATCTGAACCATTTGAGAGTTTGACTTCTGCGTGGAAAATAGCCCTATCAACATCCGGGAGGATGAAGTCATGACAGGCTGTGCTAGTTAGTCTTACCGGTATGTCATGAGGTGGCTTACACAGGTATCTGTGAGGACAAGCTACATGATGTGCACCGGGGATATGGACTAGGATGCAGTCTGTCTTACCCCTGAGGAACAGGGGAGTTCTTGTCTTACCCCCCCTGTCACCTCCTTCTGTCCCTGGATGGCAGGTGATGTGCAGCATGCGGGAGGCATGTTTGGGGGTGAGCAGCTTTGAATGTTCAAGTCATACAAGGAGTTACCTTGAGAAAATGACTAGTGTTCGATTGGTTCCGGTGGAGAGT